GTACTACTACTATTACTATTGTTACTACTACTTATAACGATGATAATTACGATTACGATAATAAATGAATAATATGATGAATAATAATGCAGTGTCAGTCAGTCATTTTCAGATGTCTTGTGGATATAAGAACTCCTATATTATTATCATTATTATTATTATTATTATTATTATTATTAATAATAATATTATTATTATTATTAATTATAATAATATTATTATTATTAATATTAATGATAATGATAATAATTGTGATACTACTACTACTTCTACTTCTATTACTACTACCAATGCTACTACTATTACTACTGCTACTACTAATAATATCACTGATAATAATTATGATACTGATAATGATGGCATAAATGACCGCAATTAGTCGGTCAGTTATTTCCAGATAACTTGTGGATGTATTTTTTTCTTTTTATGACGATACGTAGGCTCACTGCGACTGCAAAAAATAAGTACATGCCAACAGGGACACGTAGAGGATTATAAAGGAATTGTCGATTTTCCTGTCAGATAATGACCGTTTCCGTCTGAAAACCTTTCCGTCAAGCAACTCAAATCAAGAATTATATTCGAGATTGTTTGTATTTATGTAAAATAAAATTGTTCAAAAATTGACGGAAAAATACTAGTGTGACAGCACCTTAAGACGCCAGGTAAGGTATATAAGGTGTTCTCAGGCGTATGACACGATGCTGTCATACGTCACATGGTATAAATATCACTGTTGCAAAACGAATACTTATTAGCAAAGTGTACATATATTAGAATAAATGAGAGAGGCATGTTACATTATTTATGCGACATAATGGTACCAGTATTTTTTTTTTTTTTTTTTTTTTATAAAGATAGACATGACACTATTTGAATTTCCTGTAAACACTACACAAAGATGATAACAATAATGATAATGATCGTGATAATGTCAACGATGATTATGATAATGCTCATAATGATAATGCTGTTAATGATGATAACAATGATACTAATAACAGTAATGATCGTAGTGAAAAGGGTGATAAGGATAGTGATAATAATCGTCGGTAATATAAGAACAATGAAATTAATTTACTGGTGATGATGATGATGATAGTAATGATAATAAGAATTATAACAATAGTATTGATGATGACAGTAATAATAATAATGAGAGTGATGATAAGGACGATAGTTAACAATTTCTAATAATATTATCATTAAATCATTACTATCAACCTCAATACGAATTAATACTTCTAATGTAACTGCTACAACTACTATCTATAATGATGAAAAAAATAAGATACTGATGGCCGGTAATCATAATATTCACTATACACCATCACCATTATTATCATCAGTATTATCCTTATTGTTAGGTAAGTAAATGCTGAAGTAGATTTTCTTTCGCACATTTCAGGACTGAATGTTGATCTCTGTCTCATTACTCAAACACATTATCTCACTGTTAATGTATAGAGAATGTTGCTTCAAAGTTCGGGTTACAAGCTCGTGTTCAGTTCATGGATCGCCAAAGAATAATAATCATGTTATATATTATTGTTATTATGAGTAGTACTGTTATCATTATCATTATCATTAATGCACACACACACACACACACACACACACACACACACACACACACACACACACACACACACACACACACACACACACACACACACACACACACACACACACACATATATATATATATATATATATATATATATATATATATATATATATATATATATATATATATATAGAGAGAGATAGATAGATAGATATACACATATATATATATATATATATAATATATATATATATATATATAGATATAGATAGATAGATATAGATAGATAGATAGATAGATAGATAGATAGATAGATAGATATAGATAGATAGATAGATAGATAGATAGATAGATAGATAGATAGATAGATAGATAGATAGATAGATAGATAGATAGATAGATAGATAGATGGATAGATAGATAGAAGGGACATGTTGGGCCGCGAGAGTAGTGTGGAAAATCAAACTGGCTCGTGATGAAAAAAGTTTGAAGCGGTATTTTTCTCACGGTATCTCGAAATGTACTCCATTACTATTACTCACTCATTTCCAAAACACTTAACGGATATGTTGGGCCCTGCAAAGCCTACATAGCTGTGTCGTAGCATATTCCTCACCTCGTAGGTTATGGAGGGGCTCACACATTAAGTTCATGTTTACATATACCTTCATTAATCAGTCTATTTTCAACTCGAACTCAATTTCACAATGAACGAAATGCTGATTTTATCTTCTGGATGGATATATTGAAGTTTTGGAAAAATGTATCGGATTTGAAGATATCTGTATCAATTTATTTACGTCCAGAATAGATTTTAGTCCTTGATTTTCTGTGGCGACTCGCTACGTGTTCTCATAGCATCGTTCGATCTATTTGGAACCCGGACGAAATCTACGGAAACTTTCGTAATTGAAACGCCTCCATTATTTTCTTGCAAGACGCGAGTTAATATTCCTAACTGCTTATTTCTCTTTTTATTCCTTTAGTAAAATATTTTTAAAGGGTTCAATAATAAATCCGAGGCATTGGGTTTAAATTCCAACAGCAGCACATAACTGGAGGTGCTCGACGCCACTGCAGCAGAGGTTGCCACATAAGGAATTATATACGATCGTTGGGTGAAAAACGCACCAACGAATCTCTCCCTTATGATCTACATATATAAAACGTACATT